TGTTCTGTACTCGGGCTTCTCAAAAGTGGACCCCCGCCTCTCCGTCCTGAATACTGGCTTCTCTATAACCGGCCCTCGCCTCTCTCCCCCATGCATTGGCTTCTCTAAAATGGATCCCCGCCTCTCTCCCCTGAATGTCGGCTTCTCAAAAGTGGAGCCCCGCCTCTCAGCCCTGAACATAGGCTTCTCTATAATGGACCTACGCCTTTCTCTAATGGGCGCCCGCTTCTCTCCAGTGGACTTCTGCTTCTCTTTTTTGTACTCCAGACTCTCTCCACTTGACCTCAGCTCATCCTGTCCCAGTTGATCCCCTCTGGATCTCATATCCTCTCCACTGGTCCCCACCTTGTCCTCCATAGAACCCAACCTCTCTCCAGACTCCCTCCTAGACTCTGGGGTGACCTCCAGCCTCTCTTCAGACGCAGATCCCCTCCTAGACTCTGGGGTGACCTCCGGCCTCTTTTCAGATGCAGATTCTTCTATCACCTCTAACCTCTCTTCAGACACAGACCCCCTACTGGACCCTGCTGTCACTTCTGACCTCTCTTCAGACACAGATGCCCTCCTAGATTCTTCTATCACCTCGGCACCAGATTCAGCCCCAGTTTCCTTTCTGACTTCTTGCTTTTCCTCAGTCTCTCTTGGGCTGTCTCTCCCCGTGTCTGCAGAGGCCTGTGATGCACTTGCTACGCTATGCGGTCCCTTCTCGTCTATCTCTTCCTGACCAAATTCTGACTGCTCTTTCAAGACCGTGGGTCCCAACCTCTCTTCAGACGCAGACCCCCTCCTAGTCTCTACCGTCATCTCTGGCCTCTCTTCAGACATAAATTCCCTCCTAGACTCTGCTATCGTCTCCGCACTAGCTTCGGTCCCAGTTTTCCCTTTGGCCTCTTGCTTTTCCTCACCCTCTCCTGGGCCCTCTTTCCCCAGATCTGCAGAAACCTGTGATGGACTTGCTGGGCTACGCAGTCCCTTCCCGTCCATCTCCTCCTGACTCACTTCTGATTTCTCTTTCAACACCAACTTTCCTACGCCCTCTGGTCTCCAGTACTCAGACTCATGCTTTGGGTCTCCCATTCTAGGCTTTGCTGTGTTTCTTCCCTGGAGCTCTATCCTCTTCCCAATCACAATGAGCCCATTCCAGGGCATCCAGAGTTTCTCCTTCTCTCTCTGCACCTGTGCCCCCTTGCAAGGCAGCTCCGGCGGCCAACGCCTCCGGGCGGCGGCGCGGCCGGGTGAGCCCTGGTAGCCGGCCTTGCTGCGCCCCTTCGGCCCCTTAAACGTCTTACTCTGGAGCTCCCGCGCGGCCCAAGGTGGAAACTTTAACG